GCAGGGGGGTTGGACTAGATGACCTTTAGAGGTCCCTTCCGACCCGAACTATTCTATGATTCTATTGACAAATATTATGACATGAACAATTTCCTTATTTTTAACAGAAAACATAGCATGGTTCTCAAATATTAGTTAAAAATGTCCTAACAGTTGTCTCACTGCTGCGTTCAGATTTAAACAATTTGCTTTGAATTACAGTTCTGACAAAAACAGAGTTGTTGGATCAACCTAATACCATAAATACCTTGTGCCTTTTGACTTTTCTGTCTCTCTGGAGTGGGAAAGGATATCCCACAAACTTGAAATTACAGTCATCTTACTCCTATGTGTTGTAATTCAAACTGACCTATGCATCTTCAGAGTAGCAAATACCCATTTATTTGAGAATAAAATAAAAGGATAGACATGATCATGTGGGCTAGAAGGTTTTCCACTTCTGCCTAGTTTATGTGTATCCAACTGTTCTAAGACAAAGTGATGACACCTGAATTATTTGGGTACTTGTTCTGTATCACTATTGAATTAAACATAGTCATGAAGAATTTGTTCTACTTTGATCTGTGCCTGATTTGGCTTTCTGCACAATATTTGTTTTAGCTGTGTACAGAAAGAATAGTTAATCAATGTGTTTTTGTCATTTAATGTATAAATTTCATACACAAAATATATATTTCAATAACCTGGATTTCACTCAAACAAGTGTAGTGAGGGAATTATAATAATGCTAATAAACAATAATAGCTCTTAAAATAGATACCATAGATTGCTTAAATATCTTTTCAAACCATTAGGTTTAGCTGTGTACAGAAAGAATAGTTAATCAATGTGTTTTTGTCATTTAATGTATAAATTTCATACACAAAATATATATTTCAATAACCTGGATTTCACTCAAACAAGTGTAGTGAGGGAATTATAATAATGCTAATAAACAATAATAGCTCTTAAAATAGATACCATAGATTGCTTAAATATCTTTTCAAACCATTAGAAGTACAACATAGTTTTGCACATTACATTTTTGTATTCTGTGAAATTATAAACCAATTAATTTCCCAAGTTAAAATAACTGGGGAGCATTCTTACGATACTGGGTAAAATAAATTGCAAGCATATTGAAGTGATCCTGAAAATAAACATAAACCCAGAAAATTTAGTGTAACTATAAAATTTAAAATCAATCTAAATATGTTAAGAGAGGAAATGCTGTTGTCTTTGCACTGTAATGACCACATATCAAGACTAAATAAAAAGGGAAGGAAATAATTGTAATAGTTTGTCAGTATTAATTTAAAATACCTGGTACCTCAATGCTAAAAATGTCTTCATTAAAATTATGTAAGTACTCCAAAATATGATAGTAAGTGAAAGTTAATTATTAATGCCTAATGTAACATTGCCACAAGTTTTTATGTTTGGGGTTTTTTTGTGTTTAAACTTAATTTCCAAAGCCCTTAATTATAAGATTTCTTTTTTGGAATAATAACAGTATTACTTGGAAACACTTTCTTATTTTTATTTTATTTTATTTTATTTTATTTTATTTTATTTTTACTTTTAATCTTAAACCCATTTAATTCCTTTGTCTTTCCTTGTAATTTTTTTTCCCCCAGTTACTTTTTCTAGTTTAATTATTAATGCCTAATGTAACATTGCCACAAGTTTTTATGTTTGGGGTTTTTTTGTGTTTAAACTTAATTTCCAAAGCCCTTAATTATAAGATTTCTTTTTTGGAATAATAACAGTATTACTTGGAAACACTTTCTTATTTTTATTTTATTTTATTTTATTTTATTTTATTTTATTTTTAATCTTAATCTTAAACCCATTTAATTCCTTTGTCTTTCCTTGTAATTTTTTTTCCCCCAGTTACTATTTTTCTAGTTGTTTATTAACGAAATAATTTTTTCTATTGTTTAGCTGGTAGATATAGCATAACTCTTCTTCCACTGTAATTTATACCATTGACTACGCTGTTTATTTTGGTAAATTAGTATTAGAGAAAAATTCTTTTTTTTCATCAATCTGTGTGAAAATGTGTGTATCTGCATGTATGTATATTTATATGTGTGCATGTATATATAAATATATACACATATGAACTTCTAGATTACATTTACTTTAATTTAATTTGCAAGTCTTAATGAGTTTCCGTTTTGGAGAAGTAAAAACAAATGTATTTCCTCCAAAAAAAAAAAATCAAGAAATATCCTTTAAAACATTATAATTATGGAATGTGCCATTAATATGATAATAACTCTCCATATTATTTAACATACTTTTATTAAAGTATTGCAGTAATTTAGAGATATTCTTGTAGCCTTCAACCACTGTCATGAACATATATTTAGAACTAGACTTTAGATATAAATAAATGTTAACATTTTTGAACTATTTTGCATTAACATTCCCATTATCATCGTTACTAAAAATATTTATGTTATCTATTAAAATATACCTTAACATTTTCTTTTACTTGCAGCTGAATGTGGAGCCTCCACGACAAATAATGAAGGAATCTTATTGTCTCCCAATTATCCTCTTAACTATGAAAAAAACCATGAATGTATTTATAGCATTCAGGTACAAGCAGGGAAAGGAATCAATATTTCTGCCAGAACATTTCACTTAGCCCAAGGAGATGTTCTTAAGGTATGTAATCATGTAACTTAATTGTTATTTCTAAACTTGTAGTTCCTCATATCGTTGAAATTTATCTGTCTGTGATAGTACAGTATCAGGTGAGTTTATATTAAGCATCTCTTAGAAAATATGTATCTAAACCAGTTCCATTTCTAAAAAGTTAAAAATTAGGCAACCTTAGATGTTTCCATAATCTGTTCCTTAAAACATATATTTTTATGACCACATATAATTAAAAAAGAGATTGAAACTGTAAACCAAATGTTGCCTCAATGTGTATTTGTATTCTATTCTTAGTGTTAAATATTCATCAGTTACATCTTTTGTAAATTCTGTTTTCTTCCTCAGTATCTTCATAACTTGAGCTGTGATCTAAACATAATAAACATTACACCCAGACGCTTATTTTAATACACCGTCTACATACTACATTTTGTACATGAGGTTTATGCTTTAAATGACTCTAATCTTGTGTGGTATGTAACATCTCCTGCAAAATGATAATCACAGCAATTACATGTGAAGAGAATTTTTGCATTAAACAAAGAAACAACAAAGGGAAAAATAGGATACTAGAACCTCCCAGAGTTTTATAGAGCAATTTCACCCTATAAATTCAGTAGCTTTTACTTTGGTTTGTTCATAGATTTTATTACTGTATTCCCTAAAATATACATTTCCAGATGCATATATTGCTTAGCCTACTACATATTTAAAGCTGATGATGATCAGGGTGAGTGTCTTTTAGCACATACCATCTAACTGTAGTAAGATATCCATAAAAGGGATTAAATAATTGTCTAGTTTTTCAGAATACTCAATTTAATTAAACTTGCCTCTTAGAAATCAAAGGAACAAGAGGTATCATACCAATCATGTTTGATTAAAAAAAAAAAAAGTTTTTCTACCATATTCTACCATGTAGTTATTCAAATGAGAAGGATTATGGAAAGATATATTTCTAAGAAACAACTATGATTCAGACTGGGTTTTATCTCACCTAATTTTAGCCATCTGAGCATTAGGTTAGGATTTCTGTCATTAGTTGTCAGACATAGGCACTTGCAAAAAGGGGTTCATTACACTAAGGCATAAGCAGACCTAAACAACCAATGTAAGATGAAAACAAGCACCAAGAAGAAAAAAATAGTAAATAAAATGGTTTTAAATAAAAATAAGTATTATGTTCTTCTTAAAACAAAACACAAGCAAAACAAAATAATACAAAGACTACTAGATACCCAGAACACACAGGTATGTTTATTTTATTTTGGCCTCTCTGCTTACTTCAGGACCAAGTAGATATCTTTTAATTTTTACATTAATTAATACAGAAAAAAATAATTTGAAAGATGTTTAGTATTTAGTAACATATAAATAACATGGAAAAAAACAAACAAAAAATCCCAGTTATTCAAGTTACCATTAGAACATCCAGATGATGTATGCAGGTATGTCATTTTAACAGTTTTGGAATTTCTTAATGAAGTACAAAAATCAGTGAAGTTATGGTAAGATCTTTAAATTAACCAACGTTAGCATAAGATTTGAAGTCAGGTCTTACATTTGAACTTGAATCCTGTCATGCTTTAACCCCAGTGGGCAACCAAGCACCACACAGCTGCTCACTCACTCTACCCCGGCTGGCTGGGGGAGAATCAGAAGGGTAAAAGTGAGAAAACTCGTGGGTTGAGATAAAGACAGTTTAATAGGTAAAGCAAAACCCACGCATGCAAGTAAAGCAAAACAAGGAATTCATTCACTCCTTCCCATCGGCAGGCAGGTGTTCAGCCATCTCCAGGAAAGCAGGGCTCCATCACGCGTAACGGTTACTTGGGAAGACAAACAGCCTACTCGCTGGTGGGGTGGTGTGAGAAGCAGAAAAGGCCTTGACTCTGTGTAAGCACTGCTCAGCAATAATGAAAACATCCCTGTGTTATCTACACTGTTTTCAGCCAAAATCCAAAACATAACCCCATACTAGCTACTATGAAGAAAATAAACTCTATCCCAGCCACAACCAGCACAATCCTTATCCACCCAAATCACTATCCTAATATTTCTGTCCACATTTTTATGCCCATCCAATAAAAGTATACGGCTGCATTTTCCTCAAGACTTTTTAGGTTGAAACCATTCAACTCTACTATCTTACTGTAAAAGTCATAGCACTGTAGGGAGGGAGCTACAGTTATATACAGTTATATAAATATAAACTTTTATATAAATATAAATTAATATGACTATAAAGCAATTAAATTTTTTTTCTTCTTTTTTTCCTTCCTTAATCATTTAATGCACATACAATTTTGAAAAGATCTATGCACTTAAGATTTCTCAAGTGCCATTCCAACCATGTGCACTACAGATGTTTAACTAGAAAACGTTAACTCAGAGGCTTATAAAATAAAATTCTACTTTAATATTGCCACTCAATTAATGTGAACTTAAGAGTAATGCTGAATTAATTATAAATGGAGGGAGGCTACCACTCAGCTGTAAATGTCAGCGGCAGAAATGTTTGCTGTTTTGCAAGTGTGTTAGATGAAAGTAATATCTAGTAATTAGAGTGTTTGTTTTTTAAGTCAGCAGCCCTGAATTATAATACCATTAGAGTGTTTGTTTTTTAAGTCAGCAGCTCAGAATTATAATACTGAGCTGAAGTTCCTCCCAATCTATTAAAAAAAAACCTACAAGAAATATTCTTTATTATGATTATCACTTTTTTCAGCCTATCTGACATTATAGCAAGGCAGAGGCACTCATCCCTTAATATTGTGGGAAGGAATGATATCTGTGGAGACCATCATGACTCTTCTTGCCTCATCTCTCAGATGAAGCTCTTAAAAATTGTCTTAATCCCATCAGACTCTTTTTTCATGTGTGTGTTTGATAAAGGAGTCTTGTTTCAGGAAATACGAAACAGCAGTCACACATTCCAAAACTTTTCTCATGGAACCAGTTCTGAAGTTGTCTGTTGATCCCTATTATTACTGATTACTCCTCATCTCCAGGAGCTGAAAAAGAATCAGTGGAAGATTTGGTGTGTGACTGACTGGGGAATGTGCCTAGTATTTAGCATTAATATCTTCAAGATCAGGAAAATAGTCTTGGTTATCCATATTTTTTTCCTGTATTGTCTTAGACTGATTTATGTTAATCCCAGTAAAACATCTTTGAAGATGTTTGCAGGAACTTTCTTTTATTTTTCTAGAACTGGTAACTAAAATGAAAAAAGGGAAAATACTGCCTAATTTGCCTATTTTGCTGACTGTGGAGAATACACTTTTTGCTACAGGAGTATGACATTAGGTTTATACTTTAGTTTTAAGTGAATCAATAATACTCAACAAATGCTGTAAACTCATCTAATTTATATCACTACTTTGTAAATGTATATAAACATTAATGCCTTGACCAAACTCTAAGAAATCTCTGAGGTAAGCAAAGAATAATGAAGTATTCTGGAATGAAAAATGACAATGGAAGGAAGTTAAAGTAAAAAAAAAAAAAAATCATCGTGTCTTACAGCAAAAAGCTGAGTGACGTACACTGAACACACAGTTGCCTTTTAACAATGAACTAGGGAGGGTAAGGAATTCACCATTTGGAAACCAAGATATTTAAACAACAGCTTCCAGAAGGGGCTTCCTTTCCCCAAACACAAATGAAGCAACCCCACAATATTTTACAGTTAAAGCTCAGTCTTTTAGCTTCAGGCTTTGGTTAAGAAACAGATAATGCATCTCTGTTTTTCAGAACAGATAGATGAAAATGTTGGCAAAAAAGTTAATCATGTACTTTGTGTTACTTTTTCTATCAGCTAATATTTTAGATTACTAGAGCTATGCAGATAAAATTCCATTCAAAGTCTGAATAGACTGAATATTCTACTAAACTTTTGATAGGCTGTTTAATCAAGTCATGGGGTCTGCTGCTTACCACATGAATTAAGTGACCATGGATCAAATTTATACCTGACAAGCACTGTGATTGAAACAATGAAACAGTTGGACTGGGAATACAGCATTATAGGGAAACAGCATATTTAACACAAATAAATCACCACCCTTATTTATTCTTCCCATTTATTAATTCTGAACTGGTAGAGAACAGAGGTTTCAGAACACATAATTTGTTTTTCATTTGTTTCATTTAGTATGCGATTCTCTTTTTCTTTTATTGATGTAACTGCTCTGGCTACTTACGTTAATGTTGTAGGTGGTTTTTTTGTTTGGCTGGTTGGTTTTCATTGGAAACTGTTAAAAATATATAAGTCTCTCTACTTTTTTGTGTGTAGGGCTATAACCTGCTCTTGATAGTGCCACATCTTGTTTTAATATTCATGAAAGTTTCATGAAGGCATATGAAGTATTTAAGATCTGTATAGTCACTATACGCCAATCAATTTAATATTAATCTCAGAAACTGTATAACAATTCTTTCCTTCTTTGTAATTGTACTGATAACTGAGTTTGTGTGCTATGTTTCCAGAATTCAAAATTTTAGAGTAAACAGTGACCATGGATCAAATTTATACCTGACAAGCACTGTGATTGAAACAATGAAACAGTTGGACTGGGAATACAGCATTATAGGGAAACAGCATATTTAACACAAATAAATCACCACCCTTATTTATTCTTCCCATTTATTAATTCTGAACTGGTAGAGAACAGAGGTTTCAGAACACATAATTTGTTTTTCATTTGTTTCATTTAGTATGCGATTCTCTTTTTCTTTTATTGATGTAACTGCTCTGGCTACTTACGTTAATGTTGTAGGTGGTTTTTTTGTTTGGCTGGTTGGTTTTCATTGGAAACTGTAAGAAATATATAAGTCTCTCTACTTTTTTGTGTGTAGGGCTATAACCTGCTCTTGATAGTGCCACATCTTGTTTTAATATTCATGAAAGTTTCATGAAGGCATATGAAGTATTTAAGATCTGTATAGTCACTATACGCCAATCAATTTAATATTAATCTCAGAAACTGTATAACAATTCTTTCCTTCTTTGTAATTGTACTGATAACTGAGTTTGTGTGCTATGTTTCCAGAATTCAAAATTTTTAGAGTAAACTGCCTATGTGAGAGGCAGGGAAAATGAATACATGGTTTCCGAAGTATGAGAACATTTCTTCCTGCTTTTTTTCCCCGCTTTTATCTCCATCCACCAGTTTTGCTTGTAAAGTCTGTAGTCTCTGATAGTTGTAAACAAACCATTTAGATTTGCAGGGAAAGGAACAGAGTTGCCATTCTCCTACTTGCCTGAATAGTCCATTGTTAGTGGTGAACACTTTATTTGTGTGGAAATCAGTTGAATGTAGAAAGTATTCTTTTATGTCAAAGATCTGTTAATATACTTTTCTAATTTACTGGGGGAAAGGCATCTTTTATTAAAATTGAAGCTTGAACAAAGATAATATGATTGTTTTCTTTATTTTCAGTAGATTTCAACATAAATAAAAATGTACCTATGCATGGTACTAATCAATGAGTAGTTTTCTGTTAATGTTAAAAAAACCAAACCCCTGCCCCAAAAAAATCTGCAGGCAGATTCCATAAATGAACCTAAAACAAAAGAGAAAGGAACACCAACTGTGAAAAGGACTGAGATGGAAAGAGAACATCAGTTGTTTGTGGGGATTTATTTTCCTTTTATAGTAGGTTATGTGCTTGGCAATACGTAGAGTGAGAGCTGATGTGCCGGATGAGATTGCACCTATGTGGAAAAAAAATGGCTTTAAGAATTATTTTTGATACTGTAATGGAGCAATCTTTCTTTTTCCGTCTATTAAAACACTGAGTGCAGCAACAGGCAGGTAACAGTGTGCCAGTAAACCAAATAGAAGAACTGGCATTAAGGGTCCCCTTCCCCTGTGCCTGGCTCAGCACTGTTTGTGCTCCTGCAAAATACGGAGGATTCAGTTTTATTGCATTTGTTTGCTGTCTCACCTGTGGGCCAGCTTTGAAATGTGTGCACATGATTCAGTTTTTGAGGGTTTTTGTACAAAGACTTTGAAGGGAGGTAACGTTTGGGGCTTTTTGCTAATTTGTTTCTTAAGAATCTCCACACTTGCTATCATAATCCTTTTAGCAATATCATCCTAAAATTGTGAGTGAGAAATAGGTAATAAATGTAGGCAACAAAAAAAACACCCAAACATATGGGCCCTTTGCTGTCTTTATACTAGTGCTTCTTTTTGCAAGTGATATAAATGATATATTTGACAGGGTGTTGACAGCCTCAGCTCTGAGCTGCTGATTTTACATTATTTCTTCTCTTTATAAAGGCACAGATCTTCATATCCATATGCCTTTTATGTTTCAATGGCAAATCTGAAAAATAGTTTGATTATAATGCACAAATTTAATACATTCACTTTATACTATTCCCTTGCTAAGATTTTATGGAGTTAAATAAGTTAGCAGAAAAAAGGCCATTAATTTCCATTTAAAATTTGTTGATAATGGAGCCCCTTGAAAGCTTAGGAAGTTTTATTTATTCTCTAACTGTAAATGCAGGCATAACCCCTCCTCCCCAAATTAAACATTACATCTATCCGTTCAAATCATATTTATGTAAACAGTGTTCACTTTTAGCATCCTTCCCTATAACATTTCAAAATATCATTGTGATAGGAGGAACATTAATGCAATTTTCTGTGCCTTTGCTCCTCTTTATGAATTAATCATTTAACAGATCAGGCCTTTAAATAGCTGATAAAGATGGACCTCTGTTTTCTTAATAGCTTGTCACTGGCATATTCAGGCATTATACAGTCATGAATCAATTATCTTTGCTTTAATGCTACAGGGTGACTTTGAGGAAAATGCATCCAACCAAATAATATTATAATAATGATTATTCTTAGCCACTGAAGCTGAATTATTAAGTAATTCAAAATCTTTAGCAAAACTCCCACCTATTTTAGGAAGATTAGAAAGAAAATGCTGGTTCTGCAAATCTCACAAGAGAATGTAGGCTGTTACCACTCTCTTTGCAATTTAAATACGTTAAAGAAAAATAAAGATAGATTTGGAATAGAATTAATAGCTGTATCATTTAAATTACATCTAGAAATTTCTATGCCCATTAACTTGAATGAAGCACAAAAAAGACGTGACTTAAGTTGAGAATTATACTACAAAATATGCATCCATTTATTGTCCTAAGGGAGACCCCGCTATCTCAAGAAGAGGAGTATATAGAATCATAGAATCATTAAGGTTGGAAAAGACCTCTAAGATCATTGAGTCCAACCGTCATATGCTACTTTGAATATTTGAAAGTCAGCAACAAAAAGAAAAAAAAAAAAATTCAATTTCATGTTCAAGTGAATCACATCCCTCCCTCATCCAAATGCAGTTCTACTCAAAGAATCATAGAGTTTCAGAAGTGTTAGGGTACTTTAAATTTTGTTCCTTCATAGAAATGATATAGGCTTAGAAGTATTATACAGTGGGACAGCTAGTTAGCCCATAAAGTAGAATTAGTTTCAGCTCTAGAGAGATGTCAATGTGCCAATGTGAAAGGTTTAATAGGGTAGGTCAGTTAACAAAGCTGGCAATAAAGTATGTGTGGGGAAATTCTAACATGAAGAAAATTTGTGTCATGAAGTGGCTTATGGGAAGTTCTGGTGAGACATTGAGAATAGTTGGTATAACTTATTAATAGCTTCCTTTGGTTAATTATTAGTGATACACACATAGCAGGAAATGGATTACTCTTATGTAGCGATTAAAAATAAAATAAATCCTGAATCCTTGGGTGTTATTAGTTATAAGTAGCTTGGAGAGATTAGGAGAAAGAACATCAAGTTCAAGCTGGGTTTTCTTTAAGTCTGTCATGATGTAAATATCTCTGTAGGATAGCAGTAACTCTCCTGGAATGGACTTTTTTCTTTCAGTTACTGAAACAAACTAAGTCAATTTCAGAACTAATTTCCTGTTGGTTTTTTTCTGGCTTGATTACTGATCTCAGTATAGTTTTAAAGAAGTTTTAAATAAAATTAAGACACCATCTTAATATTATTATATTTTAAAAATATAATATATATTTTAAAATTACTTTTTAGTTGATAAGCATTAACTGTACCTTTTTTTTTTTGCTTTAATTTCTTACTTTTACTCTGTTTAAGGACATTGGCATTGAAATGTGAAGTTTGCTTGGAATTTATTTGCTTCTTTCAGTAAAAAAACAAGGAATGATACCAAGTCATTTTGCTGTGCTTCTTAAACTGCCATACAATTATTTGTTCATTAGAGGTGGCTAGAAATGGCTTATTTGTTTTATTTCAGCATATCATTAAATGTAAGGTCTTTGTTATTACTGGAGACATGAGGATTTCTGCAAAATAGGATTTACGTGTATAAGTCATTCTCACAAATGTGGAGCAGGCATCATAATATTTCACATTCACTTTGTTGCCTTACTACTATTGCTGGTATATTTTTTTTTTTTCATTTCATTGTGGTATAGATCCCTGTTTACAAATTCAAGCTTTAATTACATTTCAAATTAATACAATTAGATTTTATTTAGAACTGGAGACAATTCCCTATTTTTTCTGCTAAAGCTTTAGAATTTCCCTATATTGCAATTTGAAAATTATTCAGAGGTCAATTTACTGATTTGCAAGTGAAATTTTTCTTAAAACTAATTTATGAAAGTTTAATTATTATAGAAGTCACTAAATAAATCCTACAGGACATAGTGGTTGGGTTAGCAATTATTGTTAAGTTATAGTTCAACTATTTTTAGGAATGATAGGAATGCAACAACCTGTGATGTTTTAAAGCAACCAAGCTTGTAAGGAAATTTGCTGAGAACTATTAAAAGATTGTTTTATATATTTAGTAGTCTGATAGAAGTTTCTGTTTCAAATATGAAAAAGAACAACTCTGAAAGAAAAATAAATAATAAAAATGCTGTATTCCAATTTACATATAGATTAAATTACTCTTTCAACTTACAGAAGCAGTTGTTCGATTTATTTTATTTCCTACTCCTCTTTTACTTTATAGATATAGTTGAACCTCTCTTTACATAGAAAAAAAATCCAGAGGTTTATTTCACAAGCCAAAGTTGGGGAGATGTGAGCTTTTCTATCATGCCACCCCAGTGACTTGAGGCAGAGACAGCTACACAAAATAGGTATTTGCTGATAGGTTGTGACCAGCATTTCAATGCTGGCAGTGAAAGAGAAAACACAGATGTTTAAAAACACTGAGCTGATATGGCACCTCTGCCCATTTCTATTGTTATGCAAAAAAGGAACTGACATATTTTAAATTGTGCCTTTGAAAAATCACCACAATTAAGTCAACTTAACTCAAGAGAGGCAAACAGCATATCCAAATAGTACTTTGGGTTGACTGGCAATAGATCTCCCTTGGCAGAGCTGTCCTCCCTCTTAATGGAGATGTACAGAATTATTTTGTAAATCAAATATCTCATTTTTTTTCTTCATAACTGTAAAACTCACATTTGTTTTACAGATCTATGATGGCAAAGACAACACTGCTCACCTGCTGGGTGCGTATACTGGGGCATCATTAAGAGGCCTGACGCTAAGTAGTACTTCAAATCATTTGTGGTTGGAATTTAACTCAGACATGGAGGGCACTGATGAAGGTTTTCAGCTTGTGTATACCAGTAAGTATTTGAGAAAACATTAGTAATAAATTTATGATTTTAAAAAATTCTTTTCTCATAAGATGAAAATGCAGTCAAAAGACAAATAATGATAAAATCAACATCAAATCACTCATCACTCATCAAAATAATGTTTCAAAATTGTACTTCAAAAAACCCAAAACATGCAGCATACTGAAACCTTGCTTTGACAGTACTTTGTGTAGTTTGATACTTAAACCACTGTCTTTTTTCTAGTGGGTTATTCTGAAGTTTTTTTCAGTCTCGGAAAGGATAAGAAAAAACAGGATAGTTTTCAGTTAATTGTATAAGCACATAAAAATATCTAAGCATGTGAGTAGTTTTAAATGTGTAACCAAACCCCATTGTTTCATAAATATAATTCATAAGTAAAAGACATTCTCCATCTTAAGACTCATATCTGATACTAACTGCATTAGACTAGCAATTTCTGAGTTTGGATTATTGTTTAGAATAATCCAATTTGGAACCAAAATGATAAAGAAAGATTCCTAACAAAAACTTCTTACCTATATGTAGACTGACAAAATTAAACAATAAAGATTAGAAGAGGAAAAATCTTTTCAGATCTCTGGCATAGAGGGTGGACAGGAAACAGCGATATACATCTATTTTATCAAGTGGCAACTTCTGAAAATGTATGTGATTGTTACATGTGTCTATTGACACATAGTGTATATGACTTCATTAGCGTATAATTATTTCATCATTGCTGAATTATTATATAAAACTGAATTTTTAGCAAGCAGAACAGTGTTATAAGCTGCAATGCAGCTGCCAACCTTTTTTCTCCCTGTGCTTAAATCATTCATTTTCACCTGTTCAAAAATTTTTTTTACGTTTTAAAAACTCTCCATCATGTTTTTAAAACTAATTCTAATAAAACTAATGTAAGTCTAGCAGAATGAAAGGAAAATGTTTCAAGATACTACGAGAGTATGTAATTATTTTTCAGGTGAAGGTTGCATAATTATACCACATAATAGCCTGTGATAGCATTGGACTGTACCATATGATTAAAGATAGGCCTTCCAGTGCTGTGTTACTGTGTGTATGTCAAGATATTTCATTTTTCTTATTTATATAGGTACGTCCAAGCCCAGCACTTGAACCTTATCATTAACATTTCATGTCTTTGGAGACAGGCATTCTCATAGAATACACTTTCCTAGCCTGAATCGTTATTAGCCTGAACAGTGCTGAATCTTCTTTTGTAGATATTTGTAGAATTGGAAGAGAAAGAGTGAGAAAAACTCATGGGTAAAAATAAAGACAGGGAGGAAAGCAAAAAAGAAAAACCAAGAGATGCAAAGGCAGTCACTCATCACCTCCCACAAGCAGACCAGTGCCCAGCCAGTCTCTGACCAATGGCCCCTTTGGAAAGACTGTCCCCCAGTTTTATTGCTCAGCATGACATTATATGGCATGGAATATCTATTTGGTCAGCTGGGGTCAGCTGTCCCAGCTGTGTCCCCTTCCAGCCTCTTGCCCACCTCCAGCCTACTTGCTGCGGGGGCAGAGTGAGAAACAGAGAAGGACTTGATGCTGTGCAAGTACTGCTCAGCAATAGCAGAAACATTGGTGTGTTATCAACACTGGTTTATTCAGTCTAAAACATAGTACCATATGGGCTGCTATGAAGGTAATTAACTCCATCCCAGCCAGACTCTCCTTTACACTCCTTTACACTCTCCTTTACACTCTCCCTTCAGATTTATACACATGGATAAGATCCCCCCCCAAGCCCTCTCTTCTCCAGGCTGAAGATTCCCACCTCTCTCAACCTTTACCCATAGGAGAGTTGGTCCCACCCCTTAATCATCTTAGCGGCCCTTCGCTGGACTCTCTTCATTAGCTCCACATCTCTCTTGTACTGGGGAGCCCAGAACTGGACACCATACTCCAGATGTGGCCTCAACAGTGCTTAGGGTAGAGGGGAGGAATCACCTCTGTCGACCTGCTGGCCACATGCCTCCTAATGCAGCCCAGGATAGCCGCCTTTGCTGCAAGGGCACATTGCTGGCTCACATTTAGCTTGGCGCCCACCAGGATCCCCAGGTCCTTTTCTGCAAAGGTGCTTTCCAGCTGGCTGGCATCCAGCATATATTGTTGTATGGGTTTGCTCCTCCCCAGGTGCAGGACTTTGCGCTTCTCCTTGTTGAACTTCCTGAGGTTCGTGTCGACCCATTTCTCCAGCCTGTCAAGGTTGCTCTGGATGGCAGCATGATCCTCTGGTGTACCAGCCACTCCTCCCACTTTGGTGTTATCAGCAAACTTGCTGAGGGTACACTCTGCCCCATCATCCAGATCATTAATGAAGATGTTGAACAAGATTGGACCCAGTATTGACCCCTAGGGCACACTGCTAGTTACTGGCCTCTAACTAGACTTTGTGCCACTGATCATCACCCATTGCATGTCCCATTTTGGGAAAGACAGTTAATATTTGTTTTTCATATATATAAACAATGAAAACTTCCAAAAGTACCACGGGCTTACCCTGATGCTTTTAAGCAGTAAACAAAATCCCCACAAGCTGTAATGAAACATTCTGTGTCTTCAGGGACACATTGTGAGCATTCATGCTCCTTCAGTTGTCTAAAATAGCCAACTGTTGCCATTCTAGATCCCTTCACTATGCCCCTAGCTACCAAGTGCTTCTCCAAAAGGATACAGTTTTCCCTTTGGTCCTGTTGCCAGAACTGCCAGCACTGTGTGGATAGCTGAAATACACTTAAGGCAGCAAAAATGCTGCTAGTACCTACGCTTAGGCAATGGAGTTATATGTTCACCCTCAAGAGGGAAGTGATCAGTTGAAAAGACTACTTTGGTGCTGTGTCTATAAGCAGGCTGTCCAGAGATGAGGACATCTCAGGGATCAAGGAACATTTTAACTTCTTCTCACAGTGTGATCAACAATTTTCGTAGAAGACAGGAAATTCGAACTGGTCAATAAGTATCCAGACTGGCAATATAAAAAAAAGTTCTTCATTTGGGACTCACATTAGCCTCTTTTAGAGCTTCTGCAGTGCAGTCTATACTGGGAAACAATAGTTTAGCTAGGAATGAGAAAAGTTCATCTCGGAGGTTGTGGAAGCTCTTCAGGAGGTGAGCCATTTTCAGTGAGGCATTAAATGAGCTGAAGGAAGAACTGGGAAGATGCAGCATTTGACCTATTTTATTTTTCCTTGTGTGATCAAACAGCCTTATCCACCTGAAGCATTTTGTCTGTAAAATTAAATAATGAATATTTTTTCAATCAATAGTAATGATTCAGTACCTGAGGAGAGATGTAAAAGGCTTCCAACTGTTGACCAGATGGACAAATACTGTGTAAATTACTTCACTGAACAATGCAGACATGAAAAACCCTTCATTTGCTCCCATGTCACCTACAGATAGGAACATCAATCTGACACAAAGTGCCTTTTTTACCTATAAACAGTTTGAGCTGCATGATACTGATAAAATACATTTGATTTTGAACAAAGTGAGGTTTTGAGCTGCTTCTCAGTTAATAAAAGAAAACCTTATTTGGAATAGAAAATCTTTCTCCCAAATTACAGTTTATGTTTCCCCAAATGTTAATATGCTTCCCTGTTTCTGTATAATGCATAAGTCATTTTGTTTTCTTCTTGCTCCACATCTCTTAATTTTCCAAAATTTCCAAATTGTTTTGCTTGAATTCTCTAGATCATTATTATCATTGCTTCCTGCATGTAGTTTTTAAATTTACAAACTACTGAACGCAGGATTAGGGTAGGGATTGATGAATATAACAGTATTTCTTTGGTGCCATAGATGCTATTGTGCCATTAGTGTTACTGTGCACAATAACAAACAAATCTGCTGTGCAATTTTGTTTATGAGCCTTTAAATGTCTATTCACAAACTACATTGTCATCAAAGTAAATGGACAGTCACTTTAAAATTTACAAACTACTGAACGCAGGATTAGGGTAGGGATTGATGAATATAACAGTATTTCTTTGGTGCCATAGATGCTATTGTGCCATTAGTGTTACTGTGCACAATAACAAACAAATCTGCTGTGCAATTTTGTTTATGAGCCTTTAAATGTCTATTCACAAACTACATTGTCATCAAAGTAAATGGACAGTCACTTTAACTGCCATTTTAAAATTTCTCATATCATTTTAGAACTGATTGATAATGAATTTCCTTCTCAGTCTTTAATTGGATTCTTACGAAAAACGTTATGACACAGTTTGGTTTGCATGCTCTAAGTGAGGGGTATAGACAGTTATCCTACTTATACTGTTTAAAAACAGAGAAGAAACCTTAAATATATTGTTACATGAAGTCTGAAAATGTTTGATTTCCATTGGAAAACAGAAAATCTTTATTTCATTAATTTATTTATCTGTTTGATTTTGTAACTACAATGTTTTATTCCCACCACAGGTTTTGAGCTTTCACATTGTGAGGACCCTGGTGTGCCACAGTTTGGATATAAAATCAGTGACCAAGGCCATTTTGCTGGAAGCACTATAATTTATGGATGCAATCCAGGTTATACACTCCATGGAAGTAGCCTTCTAAAGTGTATGACTGGGGAAAGAAGGGCATGGGACTATCCTCTGCCATCATGTATTGGTATTAGATTATTTATTTTTTTATTTTTTTTATTTACTTAAACTATTATCTGAATATAAGAAAGGAAAAATTGTAAGGATTGTTAGATCTATGTGAAATCTGATCTGTATGTATACAGATCTATTTACACATACATTTACAGATCTGACTGCATAAATCTCATCTAATCTGCGAGTGGTGTTGCCTTTTTTAAGTTTAAAAACGATAGTAATTATTAAACATTCATGCATACTGAAATTCCTAATACGTGAAAATCTAGTTATAGTCAGCAAATAGTCAACATAAAAAGACAGCTTGATCAGAAAGCCAGGACCATATATGTTTTATGAGGGGTTGTAAAACTAGTAGTTTGTTTTTTTTTTTCTAATTGTATCTAAATAACATTAAGCTAGAAAACTTTTCATATATTTGAATATAAATACTATAAAATAAATTAAAAGAAAAACTTAAAGATATGAAGAAATACAGAGTTATACTGTATTTTTGTCACTTGGCTTCTGTTATGTTGCTGTGATGAATAACAATATTATACACTTTATTACAGTATTACAATAACTTTATAAGTTGTGCAGGTACCTACAGGCTCAATTTCTTCCATAGGAGAGCAAAAAGAAGACAAGACACAAATATGCTAGTATTTTTTTTTCCTTTTTCATCTCCTCTTAAAGGAAATGGGGATTGAGTGAGTAGAGGAAGCAAGGGGTGAAATGCACTTTGTGCCTAGATTTAAGTTTGACAGAAAACAATGTACTTTGGCATAACTTTATCAAGACATAAAGCCCATTTAGGAAAAAAATGCAACAAATAAGAACTGAACAGCTCTCTTGGAGTAATAATTAGGGAATAAATGCTTAAATCCCAATTTCTGATAAGCCTTAACTAACTTCTATGTCATTTAGGATATATGAAACTGAAGAATTAGGTGGAAAACATGGCATTGGAACGTGCAAGTAGCAAATAGGAGCTGTACAAAGAACATATGATGGAATTTGAAACAAAAAGATCGAATAAAATGTGAAGGTGCCAGAAAGTTGAGATTAAAAGTTTGAACAACAAATTACATTTTCAGTCCCATAATAAGTATTAAAAATCATAGGATGTATCACTGTAGTAGCACTCAGATATATATATATGAGTGACTTCTTGCTTAGTTTTAAAACAGACCAAGGTAAATTTGTCTAAAGTTATTCCTTCATTTTTTATTGATTATGTAGATTATGTACTGTGCACTATTTACACTAACTGTGGGAGATTCAACTTTCTCATATTCTAAGCAAATATTCAAAACCTCATATAGTTCAAATCTAGAAGGTCTACTGGAAGGGGATCACTAGAATAGCTCACAGATGGGAGATAAAAACTGTTGTCGTGTGTCCCCTCCATGACAGAGGTTGTTTGGAAGAAGGTCCCTGGATTTAATTATTCAGCAGTCCCTCTCCAAAATGTATGCATACAGCTCAAAGGGTACAGGTTGGCCACCTTTGGATTAGGAAGTGAGCCAGATTCAGAGCTGATATAAACTAACAAAAAATGTAAACAAATTGAAATCCAGAGTTGAATCTGGACCTCTGTCAAAAGTGATGATATGCTGCATATACTCAAGGTTTTATATTCTTTTTTCTTTCAGTACTTTAAACCATCCAACTCAAATTACTATCTTTCAAAAAAATTACACAAATTAAGCATCTAGGTTTTGCACTGTCACCAGACTCTGTGAAAACTACATTATAATTATTCCAAAATGTTCTGTATAGGTGAATCTATTTAGAATGTGAATCAATCTGTAGTATAAACTTCTTGAGGTTTAAATTAATCTTACTCAAAACATATCTATTAGTCTGCTATTCACAGGGAGGTTATTGATCCATCCAGTTCAGAATACCGTGTATTTGTATGTATTGCTCTTCCTTAAGCGAACAGAAGTACACAGATAGTGTCCTTTAAATGAATTTCGGAATAATTTATATTGCTTTTGTTTATTTTGATTAGGTATTTCTCCATAGGCAAGTAGTGAAACACGTTACTTGCATCCAGAGAGTTAAATGGTTGTAAAGCTGTTGTCTGTATCAGCAGTAGTATCCATCCCAACCTGAGGACTGCATAGGTTTGGCTAAATAGATTTTAAAAGAACTTTAATTAAAACAAGTGAGGTTTTTTGTATAGACAAGCTTAAGAAATCAAAAAGGTTTTGAATGCCAATTGTAAATAATGATCTTGAATTCCACATACCTTCTGGATCACTGCAGATGCTTTAAAATACTCTTGACGGTATGCAGTATGAAGCCTATAAAATGTCTTAGATATCAGTTGATGTCTTCTTGGGCTGAAAAATATATGGCAAAAGATTAATGATGTCTTAGTAATGATACACCATGAGGAAATTGGCTAGAAGAGAACTGGGAAGCAGAACGGCAGTTAAGAAATGCACAAGAACATCAGTAAGAAAAATCATGCTCAGTTTAGAAATGTTCCTCAAAGAAAACAACAAAATTACATCACCACAGTTTTTGTACAGGACTGAGACCTCTTTTAGATATCTCTTTAATATGTCCAAACAAAAGCCTGAATCTAAACATCTTACTCATCTGTGATCAAAACAGTCAGTTTTTGAGACTTTAAATTCAGTAATGGATTAAATAGCAGGAGGTGAAGATGAATCAGCAGTAAAACTGTTCTAACATTTCTGGTTTATAGGAATCCTTCTTTCAACATTCACTTTTAGTTAGAATCAGATTGAAGCTAAGCTTCTTTGCTATGAAAGGAAATTGGAAAAAAAGATTATTTTTGCAACACTGATGCCCTTTATTTCCAGAGTACTTGTTTATGAGTCAGGTAGCTGTATGCATTTAAGTTTCGTATTTACATGAACTTGGTCCCAGCCCACCACAAGATCTTTTAGGGTCTACAGATTGTTCAGGCAAACCCCGAGAATCTGTGAAAACAGTGATGCTTTGCATGAAATATTTTAGGTTGGCATGTACAAATAAAATTATTTTCTGGATATTTATGAGCAACATAAGTCAACAGACACTTTAATTTGCTGCTACTATCAGAAATCGGTTTAAAAATGCTACTGTTCTTGTTTTAGTATCATTTTATGGAAGAATGTGACATTGAGAAGACAATAGCAAAACTGTTTTCAAGCAGTTGTAGTAATCATAAATCTTAAATACGTGGTAAATGTTACAATACAACATACTATCCATGGAATCTGCAGGAAGAAATGTAGTATAATATATATTTCCTTTAATTTGACATCCTTAGAAAAATCTTTAGCATTGACACTTGGAGGCAAAATTAAGATTCTTAATTAGGATTGTCTTAGTAGTAAGCAATCTGGAGATGTAAGATAAAAGGGGTTTTGCTCTGTTACTCCTGACTGCAACCTGAGAGGATGCTGCTTTTTGAGAAGTCACCACTTGCACAGCTGATTCAGCAACCAGCAAAACTGGGGAGTTGGAATCTTGCTGGAGAGGCAGAAATAAGCCACTGGGGAGAGAGAGGGAACCTTCAAAGATCATAATAAAAAAGCAAAATTACATCTGTGAAAATTAGAAATCATAAACTTGTAGTTGTTCAGTGGTCCTGGATGAAATGTAATTAATTTCAATTTTCATTCAGTTTGTCAGTGAGTAATTTTTTCTTTATAGTGTACTTATTTAATTCCTTACTCTACTGGAAGAATAATAGATTATGCTATCCTCAGAATTGAATAATTACAAAAGATTTTTTTTTTTTTAAAGAGTATTTAGGAATTAACAGATTGTCAAAGTGCCTAAAAAAGTTATGAAAGGCCACCTGTCTCTGCAAATTTGCTTTTATTATGTCAGAAAATCCATCAAGAGTAGCATTTCAATTATATTTTATCATGGAACTCACAGATCATAAGGTAATAAATCTCTCAACTAATGATTTAGGTGATGTTAATCAAATGAGCTAATCAAAGCATTATTTTGGCTTTGTACTTCGCAAGAGAGAATTAGAGGGACTTTAAAAGGAAAGGAAGTGAAATAGGAAGGCTTTAAAGTTCTCAGGGATCTACATTAAAAAAAAATCAGGTTTTCTCAAAGATTAGGCATTAAGATTATGAAATACTCAGTTTTGCCTACTGACTGGCTGAGGCCATCTAAGAGGGAGCTACTTACCATCTGTTGTCCTCTAAGAAATACTATAGCTTCACTGTAAGGACAAGTTTTGAGTAAGAAGTTTTACAACTTCTTTTTCTATGCTGAAAGGCTGATTTTCTCTCTGAATAGCCTGTTTTTATTCAGTATGTTTCCTTTCTTTTTCTTTCATTATATAATGGTATGTTTTAAAATTATTATGTTGTGTTCAAAATTATTAGAAAAACATAGATGCCAAAGGAAAATACAGAAATATTCAAATAAAACCACATTTACAGGTTCCTTTCCCAAGGCACTTCAAGTCCTTATGTGTTGTCTTACAATGTTAGGGCATACAGTCAGTTTAGTTGTGTTACTTATTCAGCAAAAGAATAGATGTATAAATTGTTTGCTCACATGATTAGCTGGAAGACCATCTGTAATGAATTAAAAGTAACACATTACGTAATGTCGTTTTTTATTAGCTGAATGTGGAGGCCGTTTTAAAGGAGAATCATCAGGAAGAATCTTATCTCCTGGCTATCCTTTTCCCTATGACAACAATCTGCATTGCATGTGGGTGATTGAAGTAGACCCAGGAAATATTGTCAGGTACTGAAATGGAAACTTATAACAAATCTTTTTGGTTATATAATAACTAAATCTTACCTGTACAGTGGAGAATAAAAGGGATTTAGGATTTAAAATTTAAGATGCAGCTCAAGGCCAGTATTTTTGGCATTCTAAGTTTAAATATGTAGGTTTGTGTTGAAACTGTCTATTTTTCAATAAACATTGTCTGATGAAGATCAAGCTTTAAAATTGGTTATATATTTGTGAAACACTGCTGAATTTTAAACCAATTCATATATGTATATATGCAAACATATATACAAACTAGAACTGTTAACTGGAAATCTGATTACAAAATATCTAATATGAATGATATTTTAATGCCAAAGTTATAAGATTGAATATGTAAAAAGTGCTGGAGTCAGCAGAACTGTTGAGTGGAAGAGTCTACATTTTTAAAAAAAACCCTGCATTTCAGTAGTTCTTTTTAGTTAGACATGTATTCACACTATATAGCTAATTGCATGAGTTTACAGTTCTAGTTAATTTTTTTTTATGAGAATGTGATACATAATATTGTCTTAAGAAAAACAAAACTATTTTCTGAAAAGATTGTGTGGATACTTGTAGATTATTTGAATAGCTAAAGTAATATATTATTTCATGGTAGACAAATTCAAATATTGTTAGTTTTTTTCTTTCAAATACATTTCTGTATTGGGCTTTTATGCATCCAAAGGTAAAGGTGTGAAACACTATAGAAAATCACCCTTGGAAATCAAAGTTTATTTGCTTTTTTGGTTTAGTTTTGTTGCTAAAATATGTTGTTGAGTAATATGAAAGCTGACAATAAAATCATGGTATTCTTACAGCCTCCAGTTTCTTGCTTTTGATACTGAGGCATCCCATGACATTCTACGAGTTTGGGATGGTCCACCTGAGAATGAGATGTTACTCAAAGAAATTAGTGGATCCCTTGTTCCTGAAGGCATTCACAGTACACTCAACATAGTAACTATCCAGTTTGACACAGATTTTTATATCAGCAAATCCGGATTTGCCATACAGTTTTCAAGTAAGTTGATGAATTTAATTTTTATTTTTTTTTGTAAGGTAGTTCACTCATAGATAATTGTAGTGCTGGGAAAAATTGATCAGTGACAACATTTCTGACTTTTATAGGGAAAGAATTGGCTTAGACTTACAGATTTGTTGTAAAGCTATATTATTATCTTAAAAAAAAAAAAAAAAAACAAAACCAAAAAAATCATGTCCTTTGCTAGTTTGGCTTTGTTTCAAGGGCAGCTGGGGCAGTGCCAGAATGCTCATAATTATGACTAGTGTTTTTCACAAAGGAGGTGATGTAGGCATGTTAAAGGCTCCATCCTTTCCTAATCAATAAGAGTTTCTGCTTTCAGAGACATCTGTGCAGAGTCTTCATTCCTGCTGCGCTTGTATAGGATGACATGGGAAATAGCATTACAGGAACAGGAGTGTCCTTCTCCCTTTTGCCTTCTAGTGCTATTTCATCTTATTACAGGCAGCAGGATGACAAATCTGAACAGTTACTTAACTGTTATTAAATCCCATTAGACATTTTTAGTGCTGAAACAGAAGAAATCATTGAGTGAGGTCCATTTTGACCTTTTTTTTTTCTGGTCAGTGAAATTTATATATTTTTTCAAGATTAGCAAGATCTGTTCTAATATCATTATTTTGTTTAGCAGTAGCAATGTTTCTAACATGGGTTGATACAGAGACTCTTAATGATAACATTGTTTACCTTGTTGTACTTCCTGTGCTCAGTAGTTATTAGCCCTTGTTTTCCCCTACCCTCATTTTTTCTATGTGTATGACAAATACACGTGTGTGCTCATAGTAATTTGAAGGAAGAATGAAGTATGTGAATGAGAGGACAAAGTAAAGGTATTTAATTTGTAGTGAAAGAGTGCCTCTGCTCCATCTGCTGGTTTTTAAAGCCATGAACAGTTTTTAATTCCTTGGCTCCAAGATATTTTTGCCATTTTACCACCTTACCCCCTTCCAGAACCTGTTTGGGAGAGTCTCACATATCTGCTTTCCAGCCTCAGACATGCTCCTTTATTTAATGTTGAGGCCAAAAAGGGAATGGAGAGAGCATTATGCACTGAACTTATTCAGGTGGCCATTTAGGGTGAGCGGAGAAAAATGCAGACTAAGAATGGAGTTGCAAGGAAAAATTGATGGGACAGGAGTAAAGCCAAAAAGCAGCTACTGATGTACTTCCAGTGCTTTACCTGAAAAGAAGTTTTAGAGTTTCATCTGAAAGGAGAGGTATTTTATTTAATTTTCCATGCTCTTGCAGTCTGTTGAGATCTAATGATGACAGTTTAAAGGATCCGTGAAGTGTTACTGCCTCAGCATTTCTCTTACTCTTCAGTCCAGATTCACAAAAATCACAGTGATCCTTCTCAAATACTTGATGTTGCACATTTTGGGTATATACTCCTGATTAGAATCGCAGAGATTTTTTTTTTTCCCCCCTAAGTTAAGATTTTTAAAATTATGTATAAATAGCTACACAACATGAATTACACTGTTGCTGTATGGACATATTATTTTACTAACCAGGAAAGAAATGTATTTGAGGAGATGGAGGAAATAAAAAGATAAATCTGTGCAACTTTGTTTCAAGCTTTCATACACTTTCTTTGAGTATATAATGTTGTCTGAGTGAAACAGATGGTGTCTGCATACGTTAGCTACAGTGTAATTAACAAACAGAAAGCTCACACAGGGGAGGTATCTGCTTTTACTTTCCTCTTGCCATTTCATGAAATTGGGTGTGAGTATTTAACTGTATTATTGGTCCTTTAACCTCAAGAGGAATGTTACTGAATGACAACAGATATTTTATGTTCAAACCTTTTTAAGACCTTGAATGCTTTATTTTTTTATATATTATTTTCTTTATCTTTAAACTAAAAATTTGTATCTAAAAAGTGGATTAACCTTCTTATCAGTTCCTTACAGTTTTTTTATCTCATTTTTCTCAACTGTTCATACCAATTCTACGTCTGTCATTTATTTAATAAGTGAAAAATGTTCACCATTGATAATATGGTATAATTTGAATTTGACTCCTTTACAAGTCATCCAATATATACAGAAAATGAATTAGTATATAGTA